CCCCTCCCTTTATTACGAAATCTGGAGTAGCGCAGGGTGAGGGCCCCTACTTCTCAGAAGGCGCGGGCCTCATCTGCAGATGCAGGGCTGTCGCCTTCTGAGAAGCAGCCTTCTCCTGAGAGGCCTTCCCCCCTCGCCCACACAGTCAACCCCCATGGTAAGGGACAGCCTTCCCAAGGGTACCCTTGCATCCCTGCCTCCTCGGTCCATCCATGGCCACTTTCGTCGGCCGCGCCCCGCTCGAGAAGCTTCGGAATGGGCGTCCAAGGCCCTTGCATCCTTATGGCGCATCTTTGTGATACAGGCCGAATGTACACCCTTGCGCGCGCCGCCGAGGCGGCCCGGGCTGGCAGGCGCTGGAGGGCTCAAGGGGGAGCATCGTCATGAGAGAAACGGGTCTTCAAGGAAGCGCGGATCCCGAGGCTTTCAACGTTCTCGGGCCTTCGGGGCCCTCCCTCCTCCTCGTCTTCCGCCTCGTCTCCTCTTCTCCTCCTCCTGTTCCTGCTCCTCCTCCTCCACCTCCTCCTCCTTCTACAACTACACAATATGAATACAACTCTCCTCTCTCCCCTGGTGGCGTCTGGGAAATATTCGGCCCCCCTCCGCGTATGGTTTTTTTGCACAGGGTTCCTGGGAGTTGTGTTTTCGCTTGGTTTGTTTTTTCACAATGCTGCTCTTGCTTAAGCGCTGGCTTCATTTTCGGGCTACCGCTCGTTCCGAATCGTGCTCCCGCTGCAGCGCTGGCCTCATTTCCGCGCTTCCGCTCGTTCCGAATCGGGCTCCCGCTGCAGCGCTGGCGTCATTCTTTCCAGCGCCATGCCACGGAATGGTTTTCGGTCCTTCCAAGCAGGCCCCAAATTCTAGAGCATGCCCCCCCGAGACAACCATCGGAAGTAAGTACACATTCGGTGTCGATTCGTTGATTTTCTGGGCCGCAGAAGCCCCCCCACTTAAGGGCGTCGCCACGCCATGCTATGTCATGCTACGCGTTGATCTTTAACACCATGCTATGTCATGTAATGTTACGCCATGCTACGACATCCGATTGTGCGAATAGAGAAGAGTATCGAGTATCGAGCTATACGACGTAGTCGAGAAACACACTAAAGGCGGCTTCGCTGCTCAGCTTTGCTAAGAAGCTTAGGCCACTTCCCCTGGTCAATCCGATCGAGGTACTCACCTCGATGCGTGGGGATCTGGAAATCACATGGCTTCGAGAGTGCACGATTCTGCTGGCTGCCGTATCGACCGCCATAATAAGGGATGGGAGGGAGGGGTAGGACGTCAGATATGACGCGAGCGCACCTAGCTTACCTCCACCCTCTCCTCCTCCTCTTCCTCCTCCTCCTCCTTCTCCTCCTCCTCCTCCTCCTATCCTCCTCCTCCTCCTCCTCCTCCTCCTCCTCCTCCTCCTCCTCCTAATCCTCCTCCTCCTCCTCCTCCTGCGCGCCGCCGAAAGGAAGCTGGAGCTTGCAGTCTCCAGCCTGGGGCGGGGGGGGGACCTCCGTCGCGTGCGGCGTCTCGGTTCCCCGACCGCCTCCGCCCCGCCACCTCCCTCCCCCTGCGCTCAGACCAGCTGCCTGACAGTCCAGGGCTAGGGCTCCTGGCCAGGGAGGGCGTGGGCCTTCCGCTCGCCTCCGTCCTCCTGGAGCTCGGTCCCTTCGATGCCCCCTCCCGCCGTCCCTGTCGGACCTAGCCTTGGCATCGCTCGGACGTGTGCGTGTTTTTCTTTTTGTTGGTTTTTTGGGGGGGGGGGACGAGGACCATCGAGGAGCATCCTAGATCATCGAGCAGCAAACAAGCATGCACGAAGTCGAATAATGCACGAGGAAGGGACGTCCGGGCGATGGCAAGTAGGGGGGACCAGAGGTTCTCTCTACATGCCCTTCTCTGGCCTGCTTTGGAGGTACGGTTGATTTGCGCCGCGTTGACTTGGCGGCGACACCAGCGCGGGTGTTCAGGGTTGCACGCCTCCTGTGGGCCGGAATCGGCCGACACCCGAGACGGCTGGGAGCCCAGGGGGAATTGAGAGGGGGCAGGCCTTCTCGGAAGGCGGCGGGGCTTCTCAGACGCCCTCGCGCCCTCTTGGGATCCCTGCAGGCCTGCTCTGAAGCCACAGGCGGCTTCGAAAAAGGCCAGAGGGCTTCTGAGAAGCCCCGCCGCCTTCTGAGAAGGCCTGCCCCTTTACAATTCCCCCCCGGGGCTCGCCGTCGACCAAGTCTGAAGGATCCACGCGGCGTCAGAGACCAACGTCCTTGCCGTCGCGGCAGGAGCCGCCTGCACAAGGGCGCCCTCGAGGGCGCGAAGTTATTCGCGCTTCGCGCTTCGCGGTTCGGCTCCGATTCCTCCTTGTCCTCCTCTTCTCCCCTGGAAGGCGGCGCGAGAGCGCGAAGTTATTCGCATTTCGCGCTTCGCGCAGCGCGAAGCGCGAAGTTGGGAGCCCTTGCCTGCAGTGCCTCTGCTCCGGATGCCCCCAGGCCCTCCAGCGATCTCGCGGCCGGGCCGGTGCAGAGAGAGCGCAGGGCCCGCTCTGGCCGCGCCCGCGGGTCTCCACTCCGTGGTTCACTGCTGGCTCCAGGGCAGGAGGCCTGCGCCTCGCCTGCGGTCTCCTCCCTGGAGGGCTTCTCCGAAGGGCTTAGGCGACCCGTCCTCCTTCTTCCTCCTCCACCTCCTCCTCCTCCTCCTCCTCCTCCTCCTCCTCCTCCTCCTCCTCCTCCTCCTCCTCCTCCTCCTCCCCCCTCCCCCCTCCTCCACCTCCTCCTCCCTCCTCCACCTCTTCTTCCTCCTCCTCCCTCCTCCACCTCTTCTTCCTCCTCCTCCTCCTCCTCCTCGGGTCGCCTATGGCCCCGTGGGAAACCGTGCACTCCTCCCCCCCCTCCTTCCCTCGCCTGCGGTCTACGATCTACGGCAGGTTCGCGTCGTGTCGACCAGCGGCGACCCCGCCGCTGGCGCTCCACGTGGAACACCGCCGGCGTCTCAGACTCGTCGATGTTTGTCGGTATCGTTTTTAACCGATTCCCATCCCCATCCCTTTCCCCTTCGAGACCCCCACCACATTACCACCCCAGTTGGGGATACACCCTTCGAAACCCGAAGGGACGACCTTATCCCCATCTAGGGGTGTAAATCGGCCAGTAGGGCCCAGGCCACGCCGCTGGGGATGTGGATCGGTTAAACGATACTCAGTTTGAACGAATCGGCGTTTTGGAAACGGCGGACCGTTCAAGGTTGAACAATCCTCGCGGTCTCAGGAACCAACATCGACTGCGACGCGACACCAACCTGCAGTATACGAGTGGGGCTGTCACGGAGAAGCCGGTCGAGCCTTTGTCGGGTGGGGCCAGGACGAGGATAAAATCCGTTCCAGAGTGTCTCAGAGCGTTCCGGAACGCTCTGAGAAGGCCGCGGCGCCCGAGACATCCTCCAGAGCCGTCGGATCTCGGAGAATCTCGAGATGTCCTCTCCCGATTTTATCCTCGTCCTGGCTTCGTCTCCGTGCAATCGCGGAGCACCTGGGAGCGGCACCCCCTCGATGCTTCTGCCGGGCCCCCAGCGCAGCCTCGAGGCGGGGGTCGCTGCAGACGGGGTCCGCCAGAGCGCCGGATCCTCTGGGTCCTGCAGAGCCAGGGCCGCCTGGGCCCCGGTTGGCGCGCGCGCGCAGGATCCCGCAGGATTTTGCAGGATCTTGCAGAGCCCGACTGGCCCGGTTTGGCATTGACCCATGTCAGCGCGTCCCCGACGTTGTCCGCCCTCCCAGGGGAGACCTTGGTTTTCTCCCAGCGTAAATCAGCCGAATGAACGCAGGAAGTTTGAAGTGGTGCGCGTAGACAAATGGTCTCTACCATATTCTCCTCTGAGCGGAGGAAGAGCCAGGAAGAGGGGGAGGAACGAGGGTCGTCCCGGTCTGACTCTCCTAGGCCAACCGCAACCGGGCGAGGTGTGCGCTTGAGCCTCTTGGGGCACCCGTCTGCTTCGACACCCCTCTTGAGAGACAATTCCTAATCATGATGGGTTCCCTCGGGGGGAAGCAACGCAGCTCCCCAGTGGTGGCTGGTCGGTTTCCATCGCGCCTCCGTCCTCTCCCCCGTTCCCCCTGACCCGTGCATGGCAGGTTCGCGTCGTGTCGATGGGGATGGGACGCCCGCCGCGGGCGTTCGAGGTGGAACGCCGCCAGTGTCCCAGAATCGGCCAACATTGATGGGAGCGTTTTCCACCACCACCACCATAAGTTGGAGGGGGGAAGAAGGAGGACGAGGAGGAGGACGAAGAGGAGGAGGACGAAGAGGAGGAGGAGGAGGGCACCCTCCCCCTCCAACTTATGGTGGTGGTGGTGGAAAACAGGCCCACCAAACATGAAAGGATTTGGCGATCGAGACGCCGACAACCGTTCAAGCTTGAACGATCCGCGGACGATACGAACCTGCCGCACTCCAGCAGGCCCCCTCTTGCTTCTCCTCCTCTGCCTCCCTGCGGGGCGCCCTTGCTGTGCGAGCGAGGGGCCGCGCGGACCTCTTGGGTAGGGAGCGCGAGACCTTCTTGTACCTCCCGGCGATCACGGGCGTTGCGGGGGTGGTGGGGAGGGGGAGGGAGCCCGTAGCGTTCGGTCGGGCCTGTTCTTCTACAGGAGGAATATTCAAACATAGTACAAAATAGTCTGGGGGCGATTTTTCATCATTCCCAACCATCCTGTGGTGTTGGGTCCTCGTTTTGAAGAGACGGTGCCCCGCGTTCCTCTCCTTCCTCTCCTCCCCCTCCTCCCTCCTCCCCCTCCTTGCCTCTGCTCTCGGCACACCTCTCACGCGTTTCGTAGCCCCATAGGGAACTCCACCGAAGGCCCCAGTGGGGGTGTCCATATGCGGTTCCCCCACCCAGGGCAGCGTTTCGTAGCCCCAGAGGGAGCTCCACCGAAGGCCCCAGTGGGGGTGTCCACATGCGGTTCCCCCACCCAGGGCAGCGTTTCGTAGCCCCATAGGGAGCTCCACCGAAGGCCCCAGTGGGGGTGTCCACATGCGGTTCCCCCACCCAGGGCAGCGTTTCGTGGCCCCATAGGGAGCTCCACCGAAGGCCCCAGTGGGGGTGTCCACATGCGGTTCCCCCACCCAGGGCAGCGTTTCGTGGCCCCATAGGGAGCTCCATAGGGAGCTCCACCGAAGGCCCCAGTGGGGGTGTCCACATGCGGTTCCCCCACCCAGGGCAGCGTTTCGTGGCCCCATAGGGAGCTCCACCGAAGGCCCCAGTGGGGGTGTCCACATGCGGTTCCCCCACCCAGGGCAGCGTTTCGTAGCCCCATAGGGAGCTCCACCGAAGGCCCCAGTGGGGGTGTCCACATGCGGTTCCCCCACCCAGGGCAGCGTTTCGTAGCCCCATAGGGAGCTCCACCGAAGGCCCCAGTGGGGGTGTCCACATGCGGTTCCCCCACCCAGGGCAGCGTTTCGTGCCCCATAGGGAGCTCCACCGAAGGCCCCAGTGGGGGTGTCCACATGCGGTTCCCCCACCCAGGGCAGCGTTTCGTAGCCCCATAGGGAGCTCCACCGAAGGCCCCAGTGGGGGTGTCCACATGCGGTTCCCCCACCAGCGTTTCGTAGCCCCAGAGGGAGCTCCACCGAAGGCCCCAGTGGGGGTGTCCACATGCGGTTCCCCCACCCAGGGCAGCGTTTCGTAGCCCCAGAGGGAGCTCCACCGAAGGCCCCAGTGGGGGTGTCCACATGCGGTTCCCCCACCCAGGGCAGCGTTTCGTAGCCCCATAGGGAGCTCCACCGAAGGCCCCAGTGGGGCTGCCCTCATGCGGTTCCCCCACCCAGGGCAGCGTTTCGTAGCCCCAGAGGGAGCTCCACCGAGGCCCCAGTGGGGGTGCCCGCATGCGGTTCCCCCACCCAGGGCAGCGTTTCGTGGCCCCACAGGGAGCTCCACCGAAGGCCCCAGTGGGGCTGCCTGCATGCGGTTCCCCCACCCAGGGCAGCGTTTCGTAGCCCCATAGGGAGCTCCACCGAAGGCCCCAGTGGGGGTGTTCGCATGCGTCTCCACTACCCAGAGGTAGCGCCGCCGAAAACGATATTCACACTTGCGGTATTCACAGTTGCATATGGTTGGGTCCTTCGCCAGGCTAATTTGTTTTTGAATATTTTTTGTATGTTTGGAGTACAGTCGGGGCGCTGAAGAAGGAACCCTTTTCGTTGGGGAGGGGCTCCGTGTTCCTTGATTGTTTCACAGTTTGCTTTAGGTTTTCCTTAGGTTTTCGATGGGACATCGAACTTTGACTGATGGGAAAAGGGGCCTCGTTCCTGATTCAGGGTTCCTTGGGTCAACGTCCCGACTGTATTTCTTATTTTCCGTCCAAGATTCGCCAGTAGGGGGACATGCCCGATCTAGCCGTAGCGTCGCGACTCGCACGGGTGCCGCCCGAGAGTGCCTCGGACGGCCCGGCGCGGCTCGTGACGTGGATTACCAGGGCCCGCGACGGGCGTCATCGGCGAATGGGAGGACAGTGGGCTCCGCGCAGGAGGAGAGGCGGGCGAGGTCGGATTGGTGGAGGGGGCTAGGAAGGCACCAACTATACACCAACACCGATCCTGGCCAGGATCACCCTGGGCCCAGGATCGGTGTATACGCCCTCCTGCCTTGGGCAAGAAGGCATATACACCGATCCTGGGCCCAGGGTGATCCTGGCCAGGATCGGTGTTGGTGTATAGTTGGTGCCCTCCGAGGGGGCGGCGCCAGGTTTCTGCTCAGTTCAGCTCCACGCTGCAACAGAGCTGTCGGCAGAGTCGGGCGAAGTCAGCTCGATGGTCGTCGTTCGTGGCCTTCCCTTCGGGGAGCGCTAACTGCATAACTGACCACACCGATCTTGGCTGGGCCGATCTTGGGGACCCAGGATGCGGCTGGCAAGGATAAGTGTGGGTGCATAGTTCGTGTCCTCATGCTGCTGCCTCGCCGCCGATTGCTCGTCCAGGCACGGATTCTTCACTTCCGCGTATGCGGTTCACGGCCCACCACACCACTCCAACCCAATCCGAAAATCCCGATTTGAGGTCCATTTCCAGTGGGTGTGGGTCGGGGAACATGGAAAAGACACATATGAAGCCCGTACCCCCCCAAACCCGAAATTCGGGTCTTCGTGTTTGGTTGGGGTGGTCTGGTAGGTCGTCAGGGATGTTTTAGCTTTGTCAGCGTTCGGCTCTGTCGCCGCCCTCTTGGCCCACGTTTCCCCTCCCGCAACGGCTGCACCTCGTGCGGACTGCTGCGGCAGTCCTCCCACTGCGCCGCGGCGTTGTCCCCTCGACGTTGCCGGCAAGAAGGTGCTGGGAGCAGTTCGCCAGGATTCGTCAAGGAGCAAGGCCCTTCATTCGCATAAGCCGGATGCCCGCTTTGTACACCCTGGCCTATCCGCTTCTTACGCCACCCGCGTCCGTCTCGCCCGCTCGGGAGAGATCTTCCGCGCCCTCGCCCCGCAGGCGAGCGCTCTGCGCAAGCGGAGGGCCCTGGGCAACGTGAAGTTTGTCGGCGGGAGGGGCGGCGCTCGCGGCGGGCGAACGCCGAGGCTTCTCAGATGGCGGGAGGGCCTCCCACCTGCAGGAGCCACCTACGCACCATGGCTTGCCAGGGCCATCTTGGGCCCTCGGATGCTGTGTGTGGGCCCGCCTGGCCTCGGCCAGGAGGGCGTGTACCCTGTGCCATGGCCCAGGATGGCCCTGGCCAGGGGTGCTGGTGGTGCGTGGCTGGTTTCTGCGTGTCCGAGACGCCCTCCTCTCCGCCTTCTGAGAGGGCTCCTCGCTTTTCCCCCCCCTCCTGGGCGCGCCGCCAAAGTCGGGGCGACGACGGCGGGCGGCGGCGACGACGACGGTCGGGGCCCGGGGGGCAGGGCCTGCCTGGGCGCGATTCTGTCAGCCATCGGGGCGGGCGAGCGTGGAGATTTTTCGCTCCCAGCCAGCCCGGTGCGCCTTGAGATTTTTCGTTCCCAGCCAGCCCAGTGCTTGCGGTGTCGTTTTCGAGCAGTTTCGCGCTTCCTCGCTTGCTCGATGGGGTTTAAAAGTTTGAGCCTGTGCTAGAAGACAAAACGAGAACAGAATCAGGGAGGAAAGTAGCATGTCAGGGCGACGGAGATACAGCCACTTCGCCACCCATTGAAGGCACCCCTGACCTCACCTGGGGGACAACGTTCTGCAGTGGAAGGGCCCCCGAATCACTGGGCTAAGCCGCCTCACCACCGCGACTGGCGATCCACCCCGTCTCAACAGCAGCCCTCACACGCGTGAAGACATCTGCAGGCAGCGGGTACACACATATCTATATATATGTATATATATATATGTATATATATATATACATATATATACATATATATATATATATATATATATATATATATATATATTATATCGGAGTAGGCCGGGGGGGCGGCCGGCTGCTGCCTCTGGTCGCCATGGCGGCCCCCCGGGCAATTTTTTGGCACCCTACACGAGGTTCGTGGCCCCCTCGCCGAAAATTCGAGCCCTCAGTCTCAAGAAGCCTTTGAAGAGGCCACAAGAGGCCCCAAGTGGCTTCCATGAGGCTCCCAAGACAGCCCACCAGGCCCTCCAGACGCTCCAAGATGGCTCCCACAGCCTTCCGAGCAGAGATTCAATAGCCACAAATCGTGGGTCAGAGACCCCCCGGGACTGCCCTGGGCCGCTACCAAATTGCCCACGACAGGCCACGCGGGCCGTACAGATGGTCAAGAAAGCTTCAAGAGGCCCCGAAGACGCCCAAGAGAGCCCCAAGAGGGCCCCTGAGGGCCCCAAGAGGGCCTTCAAGAGGCAAACGTCGGCACATTTCCTTCGTCAAACGTGCATTTTCGGCATACTCGCTGGCTTCGTCTTCACAGTGCCCCAGACGCCCCCGCGGAGCCCCAAGACAGCCCAAGAGAGACCCAAGTGGGCCCCAGACGGCCCAAAAGGGTTGGCCTGTAGGGCTCACCGAACCCCCCGAGACGGCCCAAGAGGCCCCGAAGCTGGCCCAGGAGGCCCCCAAGACGGCCTCAGGGAGGCCCAAGAGGGCCCCGTTCGAAATCATGTTCCCGGAAGCCTCTCCGGGAACATGACTTCCGGGTTCCGAGGACGCCCAACAGGGCCCCAGGACAGCCTCAGCGAGGCCCAAGAGTGCCCCAGATGGCTTCAAGATGGCCGAAGAGGGCCCCAAGAGGGCCTTCAAGAGGCAAAAATCAGCCCGTCCCCGTAGTAAAACGTACGGACTCGGCGCGAGACAATTGGCGACCGCAGCTGCCGTCCCTTCGTGCTGGGCGAGTGCGAACCTGGCGTTCAGTTTGGACGGAACGTGTCGGGTCTGTTGCCAATCGGGGCTGCGCCAGGTTAGGCCCCCCCCAAGGTCAGGTTCGGGAATCGGTCGTAGCAACACGACGACGACGACGACGACGACGACGACGACGACGACGACGACGACGACGACGACGACGACGACGACGACGACGACGACGACGACGACGACGGCACGCCCCAACAGGCTCCCCAAGACGCCCCAAACCCATGCTCCGAGAAGGCCTTCTGGGAACCCGATTCATACGGCCTCCGCCCCCCTACACAAACATTTTCCTCGAAGGCCTTTCGGAATGCAGATTGGTATGCGTGGACTGTGGTCCACTACTTCAGTGGAGCAGTGAATTCGTCAAGGGCTGGGGCCTGCTAGAACCTGAGCGCGCGCGAATTGCGCGCGATGGTTCTAGTGTATATCTAGTGGCCTATGGCCTATTCAGCTATCGTGCCTGGGTTGTGGGTCAGGGGCCTGTTCGATGCATATGAGAGTTTCTTGGGATGCCTCTCGAAAGATCATGGGGTCCACAGGGTGCCCGGGGGAGTAATTAGCAGAGCACCTCGAGTGAATAAAGCAACAGCAGCGAGTGCGCATGCCCTGAGTCAAAATAGAAGAGCGGCGCCCTGCCAGTGACAGGAGGAGAAGTGAACGCGGAGATGCTCTGAGGCCAGTTCGCAGAGCGACGCTCTGCTAATCA